TTCTTCCTGGACTCGGGCACTGTCAGGAGAGAAGAAACATGTAGTGTGGTCACTGTCCCCACACGTCCAGTAGTAGACCGGGAGCAGTAAGGAATAAACACAGCAATGAGAACATGCCAGCATCAGGGATGAGCCCAAACCGGGGATGTGGGAAGTGGCTTTGGCAGACCTGGTTGAGGACATGACTCTTGAGCAAGGCTCGAGTGAGTGGGTGGCCTTGCCTGGGATGCTCAGGACAAAGGAAGGCCTGGTGATCAGACGAGGCTTGTCCTTGGAGAGAATCAAAGGATGCTGTGAGGAGCTTTGTGCCAGAGGCATGGCGGGGAAACGGACATGGGAACTGCTCGTGGCTTCTGATGTCATCAGAAGTGATGCCCCTGCGAGAACGATTAATATGACAGAGCAGTAGATGAACGCACGTTGGCCTAGCTCCCCATGCTGAAGAGCTGGTGGTACTGAGAACCCAGGCACCAGGGCTCTGTGTCACTGTTCCATTACCCTTGCCCAGGTCAAGAGAGGAAGTGTGACTGATGGGGGCGGGTAAGGCTCCTCCCTTTCTCTCCCAAGTGTCCACCACCCAGAGGGGATGTGCACACTCAGTGCTGCTCTTCCTTCTCTTTCTGTTTCTTTGATCTGTTTTTCTTGCTTATCCGCCACCTTCTGCACTCAATCTTTCGGGTGACCTTGGCTAATTTGCTGAGATTCATTCTTGCTGTTTCAGGGTCTCCTTTGGGGACTTACAGTGCACGTGTCGTATCTCCAGGCGACCTTATGCTACTTTAAGGAGTCTAGGGCCTTTTTGCAGTCTCCTGCCATCTCTCCAGGCTTTGGGATGTGACGGGGTACACATCACATATCACTGTGTTTGTTATGGGTTGACCTCTTTGCTTAAACAGTTACTTTTTACAGAGGTTTATAAATAAAAGCCATGCTGACTGTGCCAGGTGCCCCTCACTCCTCTTCACTCCCAGCCGAGGAGGATGGTAGTGCATGGTGGCCTCGGGAATCCAAGGCTTTTGCAGAGCTGAGGGACCTTCATGTCCTATGCATTTGCACAGGTACCAGTGTGAAATTCTGGGCTGATCTTGTGTTGGCTCTTCAAGAGTCCAGCGTGCCTCCCCTGGCAGCTTTCTGGACTTTGCCTCTGCAGTTTGGAGCATTTTCCTGGTGATATGCTTTGGTCTTCCTGCTCCCTTGCCTTTGGCAACTGGTATTCTGGTTTTGGTTTTTACCCTTTTTTGAGACACGGTCTCACTCTGCAGCCATGGATGGCCTTCAGCTCTCCCTCCTCCTGCATCCGCTTTCTTGAGTGATGGTTTGGATTATCTTTCCAGTTTTGTCTTCTGTCTTTTGTCTCCTGTTTCATTTTAGTAGTTTCTCTCACTGTGTCTTCAAGCTCTCGAGTTCTTTCAAGGCTGACTCTCCATTTCTCTCCCTTCTCCAGCATGCAGAGCACAGCTAAGGTAGATGTTTTCAGTCCTGTTCACTTGCGCGCTCATTGGCTTGTGTCAGAGCCTGTTGCTGATATCCAGGTTTTTCTTCACCGGGACTTGGAGTTCCCTGCCAGTGCTGGGTTTGAACTCAGGACTTTGAGCTTGCTAAGTGGGTACTCTTATCACTTTATCCACACCCCAGCCCTCCAAGTGACTTTTGATTAGAGGGTTTGGATTTTCCCATCTGGGTTGCTGTTTGTTCTGTTGCTGTGAACTTTTGAGCTTCTGTCCAGGGCACAAGATCCTCGGGCACGACTGACTTTTTTTGGTTTGTAAGTCAGGGCCCCCAGCAGTCTTCATTTGTGTGATTTTGTGTCACAGTTGAGGACACAGAGTGTCCTGAACACTGCCTCATGCCCCATGAATGACAAGCTCTTTGGCCTCGGGGAAGTGTGAGCCGTTTGCAGCCTGAGCGAAGGTGGAAGTGCCTCCTGCTCTGCTCCTCACTCGGGCACCGCTGGGGATCTTCTTTGGCTCTCTTCTAGGTCTGCTTCCCCTCAGCCTTCCCTTAGAATGTCAGCTGTTTTCCTGCCTTACTTGGAACCTGTCCCAGTTTCCCCTCGCTCCCTGCCGATGGCCTGGAACCTCCAGCCAGGAAGCAGAGACAATCAGAGTCCCTCAAAGCCACTGTCCTGTGTAGTCTGATGTCCAGTGTGGTGTTCCTCTAGGGTTTAGTTATTTCAGCCCCAAGCTGAGCTGAATTGCTCAGGGTTCTAACAAGCAGTGTGGTTATTTGGACAAGAGAAAAGGAGTGCCCTTCTTCTTGAAGGTTGTCGGGGCCAAGGTGGTGACCAATGCCCGCAGTCCTGGGGCTCGGTGTTACGGGTTTGTCACCATGGCGACATCTGATGAGGCGACCAAGTGTATCAACCACCTGCACAGAACCGAGCTGCACGGACGGATGATCTCTGTGGAGAAGGTGAGGCACGTTCTGTGGGTGGTCACTTGCCAACCAGGAGCTCTGCCCCATGTCACTAGTCTGTGTCATGTTCTAGGCCAAGAACGAACCTGCTGGGAAGAAGCTGTCAGACAGAAAGGAGTGTGAAGTGAAGAAGGAAAAGTTACTGAGTGCCGATAGGCATCACCCCGTGGAGATCAAAGTGGAGAAGTACGGCAATTTCTGAACCCTACCTCAGCTTTGTGGGAGAAGGATGGGGTGGCCCATGGCCCTCACGATGCAGGTGTCACCTGTGCCTTTCCATCTCAGCTTGTGCCTGCATCTTGCTATCCCTTCACACTCAGCAGTCTGCCTGTCACTGTAAGGTGGACAACAGGGATCACAGTCAGTGTGTGTTCTTGTTTTCTCACAGCTTTCCTGAGCACAGCAGCACACAGTGATAGTCTGCTGCTTTCTTTCACTCCTAACGTCCCGGGCCTTCACACCTTAAGTCCCCTCATGGCTGTGACTTTCATCCCTTCCTGCTTTTTAACTGTAGAAGCTGTCAGACACCCCACTATTCACAGATAAAACGGCCTCTGTGGGTATGTAGCCTCATCTCATGCTGCAGTGAGTAATCTTGAGCTAGCATTTAGCACCGTGTCTGACAGATGTCAGGAATTGCCACATTGACGTCAAAATTTAAAAATGCCCAGGGCGTGCTGTGAGTTTCCTGTGGTGGCCTGGGTACTTTAGCATAGTGGATTAGGAGCCCAGAACCTGTGCTCCCATTTTCTACAGGCTTGTGATTTCTGTCTTCGGCACAAGTAGGAGTGGGTACAGAGCTCCCTCTTAGGCCTGGCCGGGTCCCGTTCCTGCTCCTGTCTCAAGCTGTTGTGTGAGCGGAGGGCTGTGGTGTGGATGGTGGTGGCTGTGTCTCACAAAGCTGACTTTGTGCTGTGATGGGCTTCCGCTGCCAACTCTACTTGAAGTGCACGCAGCCCTTCCCTGACAGCCTGTCACCTGCATCCTAAGTCCGGCTCACTGTTGCTTTTTATCTTTTTTGGTGGCACTGGGGTTTGAACTTAGGCTTCTTGCTTGAAGCCACTTGAGTCACTTGAGCCCCTCCATGAGCCCTTTGGTTTGCTTTGCTTTTTATTTCGGGAAATTTGCAAGCCTGTCTAGTCATTGTCAGGGTTTTTAAAAGTGTGACTTCTGGTGATCATCATGACTGCCTTGATTGGTTGGCCCCTGGGTGGCAAGTGTCACAGCCTTGTGTGCGTGGAACTGAGTCCCTTATTTGTCAGCAGCTTCTTGCAGCTGAGACAGATCTGAACTGGCAGGATGTACGTGGACTGTCACATGGTCTCAGGGCCTGTAGTTGTTGATGGTATTCGTTGACTTTCTCATGCACGAGTGCTAGGTGTTCCTGGGCACAAAGTGAAGATAGCCAGCCTGGGAGGCACTGCCCCAGATAGGGGAGAAAGCAGGCTCACTGGAACGCCGAGCCTGAGGACACCCCACCCAGCCAGCCCTTGGTTGGCCTCAGCTGTTCTTCTAGGGTGACGAATTTCAGATTTTCAAAATCAAGCTGTCTTCCAGTAGTGTCCTGGGTGGAGTGCTGGGGAATTTTCTTTTTTGTTTTGGCAGCACAGGGGTTTGAACTCAGGGTTTAATGCTTCTGTGACAGACACTTCACTGCCTGAGCCATGCCTCTGGGTTTCATTGTGATATTTCCACACATGCATTGAAGTTTATTTCTGCCTTGTTTTTCCTCACATACACTCCTTCAGTAACCTTCCTTTCACTTTAAGAACTTCTAGATCTGTTAGTGGGAGAGGCTTTGCAAAGAGGCAGCTGGTCCTTGAGGAGTGATTTTGTTATCAGATTTGGAAAACACGCATCAAGCAGAATGCTACTACATTTTTTTGGTGTATGTCCAACGTGCATGCTTTATTTCTTTTGAGACAAGGTCTTACTGTGTAGTCCAGGCTGGCCTTGAACTGAATCCCCAGTTCAGTTCTTGGGTTACAGAATGCTTGGGTTACAGGCATGTGCCATCACACTCAGGAAAAAATAAAGTCTTTTTTTTTTTTTTTTTAAAGAAAAATAATTTTAGCCTGGCATGGTGGTACCCACCTGCAATCCCAGCACTTGGAAGCCTGAGACAGAATTGAAAGTTTGAGGTCAGCCTACACTACATAGTAAGATCCTATTTCAAAAAAACAAACAATAAAAGAAGTGTTCTCAGGTAATTTGAGCACGCATGTGGTCTTTTGGAACAACATCCCCCTGGGTCTCTAGTTTTGTTCTGCATACTTCAGGACTTGGCAGAGAACTTAAGTGGGAGTGAGAGCGGTGCAGAAGGAGGAATATTGTCTTTTCTTTGGTGTTTAGCTTATTCTCACTTCCTTATGTCTGGATGGCTCTCATGTCGCCACCTGACCCGAGTGTGTGACTGAAGCTCAATGGGACTGCTCCTGTGAGAGCCTCGAGAACTGAATTCTGATAACTGTGTTTTTAAATAGAACCATGATCAAGAAGGAAGAGAAGATGGAGAAAAAGGAGGAAAAGAAGCCTGAAGACATTAAAAAGGAAGAAAACGATCAAGATGAGCTGAAACCAGGACCTACAACTCCATCTAAAGTCACCAAATCAGGTGACTGGAATAAAAAAAGTGTTGAGAAAGGGGGACAGACAGCCTAGCAAGATTCGCGGGCGAGTGGGGTTTGAGGTACCAGGAGTACAGCAAACTTTTTGGTGAGTTTTGTTCTGTATAGGGAGCTATTAAGAAGCAAGAGCCATGGCTGGGTGCTGGTGGCTCACGCCTATAATCATAGCTACTCCGCAGGCAGAGACCAGGAGCTCATGGTTGGAAGCCAGCCCCAGGCAAGTAGTTCGCAAGACCCTAACTCCAATAAAACCCATCACAAATAAAGGGCTGTCAGAGTGGCTCAAGTGGTAGAGTGCCTGCCTAACAAGAATGAGGCCCTGAGTTCAAGGTCTGCCGAAAGAGCCTCAGGTGAAGAGGTGGCTTACAGAAGTGTCCATACCCCAGCAAAAAAGAGGGCCAAGAGTGGCCGTGGGTTTTGTGTGCTGGAGCACTTGGTGGTCTGGGTACTTGCCTCTACTGTGATGCAATTCTGCACATGTAAGCTCATCTTTCTTGAGTCTGTGTCAAAGCCAGGCATAGTAAATAACGTAGAAAGAGTAGTAGCCAGGAGGCTGAGGGAAAGGACTGCTTGAGCGCTCCATCTCAAAGACATAAGGAAATCTACAAGCTCAGAAGTGGTTACAGTTGTACCACACCATTTTTTTGCCATTTCATAAGTTTATTCCACTCTGCACTATTGAATGAGTCTGTCAGGATGTTAGGTGGCAAAAAATAAACCTCGTACCACCCCCCAAGAAAAACAGAAACAAAGCTGGACCAGCTGGACCTTGCAGTGTGGACAGCACATCACCAGTTAGACTTCCAGGAGAGTGACTTTCCAGCAGTTTCATAAGGAGTGTTTGAAGGTGTTCCTTGGTATTGTAAATTCCCCAAAGAGGAGTCTACAGATCGTTCCAGCCATCTGAGCCTGTGGCCAGGGCAAGGGACATGCAGGCTGTTCGCCTGACCAAGCATTCCCTGAGAGGGTCCGCAGGATTCTGTGGAGCCTGTGGGAGGAGGAAAACACTGATCCACTCTGGTGCCACTAGGATTTAGTGCAAGGAACTCTATGCCTGTCATGGAAAGTACACTGATGTGAAGTGGGCACACAGCTTGTTTCCTGTGATGTGCCAAGACCTGACGGGGCACTGGCCACTCCATTCCCGTGCTCCCTGCCTGGAAAGGGAGAAACAGCCTCTGGGTAGCAGGTCCTTCAGCCAAGGCCTGCTGCTGGGACCTGTGGCACCTTGTACTCACAAATGGCTGTGCTTTTTCCTGCAGGAACCCGAGGAGCAGAGCGGACAGTCGTGATGGACAGATCAAAAGGCGAGCCCGTCATCAGCGTGAAAACCACCAGCAGATCAAAAGAGAGAGTAAGTACTGCCTCTGCCCTCAGGTTGCACACGGTGCCACAAGTTGCCATGCATCTCCTGTGAAACTTCTAGGCTTATCCAGGTACTCTCAAGGTCCCATTAAGTGCTGGGTTGTGTGACAGATGCGCGGCTAAAGGCTGAGACCATCGGATGCTTCCCCGGTTTGCTCTGGTTGCTTCCTATCAGGAGGGAAGGGACCTGCAGACAGTGGCCCACCATGGCAGGACAGGCTGGCTCAGCCTTTCACAGAGAAGCACCTAGCTTGGTTAATCTAATATTAGTTTATTAACTTTTCGGTTGGTTTTCTAACCTTGTGTTAGACAGCTGGACAGGACAGCAGCTACTCATTCTGCTCCTGGGGCGGGGAGGGAGAAGGCTGAGCTCTAACATGAATGTGAGCTGGAGTCTGGCCCAGTAGTATACACATGCTTAATGTGTGTGGTCTCTTGGGTTCCTTCCCCAGCACCATAGAAAGTGAAAGAGCAGTGAGCGTTGAGATGCCATAAAGCAGCAATTCCTAACACTTGCTAATGCCACTTGTCACAAACCTGCCTGAAAATCATAAAACAGAAACCTAGAAAAGAAAACAAACCAGAAAAGATCTGTAACCTTGCCACTCAAATCACTGATGTGAAAGCAAGCAGTGAGCTGCATGTGGCTTAGAGCTGTCAGGATGTAGGCACTGAAGCCTCTGTGTGGGCTGCCCTCCCAGAACCCCCACCATCAAAGGGTGTCATGTGTATTCCCTAGGAGCATGCTCTGAGGGCAGTGCTGGACATGGCAGGTCACACACCTTCCTTTCTTGTGGACTGTGCCTGGGAGGGCTTTGTATACCGAGACATGTTGTTGAACCTTTTCAGATGCCCTCTAGCAGGTTATGGAGGTGCTGCAGGTGCAGCGGCAACAATGGCTTCAGGCACCAGTGCCATGCTGCTCCACCGTGGCCCAGGTGATGTGATCACCTGAACCATTTGCCCATCTCAGGCCAAGAGTGTCCCAAGTTTCAGGTGACCTGTCGTTCCTTGTGTTTCGGGTGACCATCTTCCTTCCATACTTCTTAATCTTTTTAATTGATAAAACATCTGGCCTTCACTTTTACCCATCTTTCTTTGGGGTCACTGTGTCATTTTTTTTATGCTATCCCCCAGGTATGCTAATTAAGGAAATCGGCGAGGAGCTTCTGTAAAATGCTGTCTCCCGAGTCCCCTGCCCCTGAGAGCCTGAGTCTGTAGGTTATTTGAGCCAAGCTGTCCTGGAACTTAGGATTCTCCTGCCTCGGCCTCCTGAGTGCTGGAATCCACACTGTAAAATGTTTAAGCAGGTTAAACACATCTGTCTCCACATTTATCGTTCTTTTTTTATGGGGACTGGGGTTTGAACTCAGGGCTTCACACTTACAAAGCTGGCCCTCTACTGCTTGAGCTACACCTCCAGTCTATTTTGCTCTGGTTATGTTGGAGATGGGATCTTGTGAACTGTTTGCCTGGGCTGTCCTTGAACCTCGATTCTCCTAGTTTCAGCCTCCTAAGTAGCTAGGATTATAGGTGTGAGTTACTGACACCCAGCTATCGCTATCAGTAATTTGGAAATCCTCCCAGCACTGAAGGAGGCTGTAGGGTTATGAGTTTGAGATCAACCTGGCTCCGTAGCAAGGCCCTGGCTTGAACAAAAGAAAACAACCTTCAGCATTTTGACGTGTAGAGGACGTTCTAGTCATCATGCAGTCTTGAGGTCACTGTTGTAACTGTAATAAACCTGTTTTGGGGAACAGAGCTCGAAGAGTCAGGATCGAAAATCAGAAAGCAAAGAGAAGAGAGACATCCTCTCATTTGACAAAATCAAAGAGCAGAGGGAGAGAGAGCGGCAGCGGCAAAGGGAGCGAGAGATCCGGGAAACAGAGAGGCGGCGGTGAGTGAGCATGCGCACAGGACTAGGACCTTTGGGGGTGGCTGTCCCTTCTCCCCAGCTACAGGAGCAGCAAGTGACCTGTGTGGCTCGAGAGCCAGCACCCGGCCTGCTGTTGTGTTTCTCTGAGTCTCAGGCCCATGGCATGGAGGGCATCACAGCTCATTTTGCCCTGTGCTATTTCCCCTGGGTGCAATGGGCCCTCGGCCTCTGTGGAGAGCTCCCTATGCATGCTCTTGAGGGAAAGCCATGGTCACTGCCCCAGGGCCAGGGCGGGTGGCTCCAAGGTGCTGCCCACAGCAGCAGCCTCCAAGGAGAAGCGACTGAGGTGGCAACGGCCCTGCCAAGCTCCTGGCTGCTCTCACCCTTTGCCTCAAGATGGTCTGTGTCGCCTCCGCCTTGACCTTTTGTCACTTCGTGTTGAGCTGTCCAGAGTTCCCATCACTTCTCAAGCACTGCTCAGTAAGGAGGACGCTGGAGACCACCATGTAGAGGTCCCTCTATGTGCTTTGGACAGCCACCCAGCCCCAGGCCTTTGGGCCTGTCTGCACCAGCAGAGACTGCAGGAGACAGCTAGGGTTAGCACACCCAGAGTTCCACTCTTGGGAGGACTTGGGGTGCTACATGTGCAGGACACCCTCATGGTAGCCATGATCTGGTCTGCTGGGTCCCCGCATTGTGGCCATGCCCGGTGCCTGATGCTGGAGAGGGATGGGTGAGGCCGCCTGACTGCTGCCCTGTGTCGCAGGGAGCGGGAGCAGCGGGAGCGCGAGCAGCGGCTGGAGGCCTTCCACGAGCGCAAGGAGAAGGCACGGCTGCAGCGGGAGCGGTTACAGCTGGAGTGCCAGCGGCAGCGGCTGGAGCGGGAGCGCATGGAGCGCGAGCGGCTGGAGCGCGAGCGCATGCGCGTGGAGCGGGAGCGCCGCAAGGAGCAGGAGCGCATCCACCGCGAGCGGGAGGAGCTGCGGCGTCAGCAGGAACAACTGCGTGCTGCCGAGCAGGAGCGCCGTGCGCTGCGGAGGCCCTGCGATCTGGATGCGCGGTGAGCGTGACTGAGGCCTTGTTTGGGCTGCGGGGGTGGGGGGTGGCAGGGATGGGACTACGACACAAAGGGAGCCGCCTGCCATCCGCTTCAGAAAGTAGGGTCAGTGGTCTCCAACCTCTAGAAGCCACTAAATTGGATACCTAATGGTCTCCCACAGAGCCTAGTTTTCTGGGAAAAGCCTGGAGGAAAATAATTGGATGCCTTCCCCAGCCGAATGTAGTCTACTGCCGCCTGGTCTCATTCTCTTTGCCTTTGCAAAAACCATCCCCAGAGGGAGGCACGGGTTCTCAGACAAAATGGGGAAGACTGGCTACTAAATACCATTATTCCAGAAGCACCAGATAGTTGTCGGTGCATCAATGGCCTCGTGACACAATTCGCTCTCAGCAGTCTTCCTGGAAGTCGGTAGAGGAGAGCCCCAGTGTGCCTCTTGGCAGTTCGGGGCTTTTAATTTATCAAGTCAAAGCGATGATGGTGGAATGTTTAGGTATTAGCCCTGCAGGACATGTTAAATGATACTAGGGCGAGAGAGAGCTTCCCACCTCCACCCTTTCCTCCTTCCTTTCTTCACTTTCCTAATAAAACCTGCATCCTTCTAAAACAAAACCAGAAGAGATGACGCCTATTGGCGGGAAGGAAAACGCATGGCCATGGAAGACAGGTACCACGCCGGCTTCTCAAGGCCAGATCACCGCTTCCACGACTTCGACCATTGTGACCGGGGCCAGTACGAGGACCACACTGCCGACAGGTCAGGGCCCGCCTCCTGCCACAGCGCTCATGATCTTGTCCCTGTGTGGCATGGGTGCTCCTGTGGCCTGGAGTCCTGTTACTTTCGGAGCTCCAACAGGCTGCAGAAAGGTGGTCCTGTAGCGACTCTTGGGTCAGCCAAGAGTCTTCATAGATGACAGACACGGGCCTGCAGTCAGGCACAGGACTGCAGGACAGCACCCTCCAGGCACCAGCCCGAGCCCTCGGTGCTCCTGAGGCCTCCTCGGGGCTGCTGAGCTGAAGGGGGTTTAGTCAGAGCCCCCGCTTGTTTGTTTTTTTTTGGCGGGCTCCTCTTGTCATTGGGGATCACGTGGTTCTTCAAGCATGGGCTCCTGTGTTTGGGCTACTCCTTGCACACCCTGGCCTCAAGCTGACTCACTGATGGTCAACAGGCGAGGACAGGTTGGGGATCACTTAGGCCACGTGTGAGCATCTGCTTTTGAGACCTCTGCAAGGGACTTCAGTTGAGGAAGTCTTTATTCCTGCCTTCCTGGGATCTGACCTCCTTCCTATCTCAGAGAGCAGAGCTTCTGTTCCTGCTTTTCCCTAGCAGTCAGCGATAGTGCCTCCGTGCTGTGACAGGACTGATGGCCCGGAGAGACAGTCCTCAGGCTGGCTGCAGGAGCAGCAGTGCTGCCTACAGCTGCTTGAGCAACGCTGTTACTTTTGCAGGAGAGATGGGGCGAGGCTGGTGATGGGCGAGCACGACGGGCAGGTGAGTGGGGTGGGAGCAGGAGCTCTGGCCAGCAGTTAGGAGACAGTGGGATTTGGCTGTTCTAACTCGCTGGTTCATGCAGGTGGACAGCAGCCATTGGGGCTCGCTCTAGACCCAGACTTTACCTGCAAGGAGCAAGCAGTGCAGGCAGCTCCACTGCCTGCTTGCTAGTGATCTGGATCCCCCATTCCATGGGGTGCCCCACATGGCAGCTTCCAGGCCTAGTAGGAAATTGTGCTGCCCACATTTGGGGAGCAGGGCCCCTCTGTTTCAAGTGCTGTGCTAGGGCTAGGGATGAGACCACAGTGGTGGTACTTGAGTGTTTGGTGGCATGTGTACCCCAGGATGGACAGGTGGCAGGATAGGAGCTCAAGAAGGACAGCTGAGGCCAGGCCTCAGGAGGATGCTTTTCTGAAACAAGGTGCTTCCTGAGCTCAGTTGGCCTCCTTTTCCTACTCCCAGGTCTGCTGGGTCTGGGGTGCAGAGGAGGGCAGTGTGTAGGTAGCATCTGCCTGGGGTCAGAGTGCACAGGTTGGCTGGCACTTGGCGCAGGGCCTCTGCCATCAGGGAGGGGGGTGGCTTGCATAGCTTCCAGTAGTTCCTGTGCTCCTGGGCGGTCAAGCCTCCTCCAGAGGGCACAGTGGCTCCTTCTCAGGAGGGTCAGATACAGCCTACAAGTGTACAGGCTGGCAGGTGGAGTGCCATGACTACAGCGATGCCCTTCTGTATTTTACAGCACTACTCAGATGAGCGCCACAGCCACAGCGGACCAGAGCGCCATGGTCGGGACTCCCGGGATGGCTGGGGGAGCTACAGCTCTGACAAGAGAATGAGCGAAGGCCGAGGGCCGCCCCCACCCCCTAGGTGAGTGGGTTGCTTGACAGGCTGTGACTTGCAACCCCAACTCATGCAGGGAGCAGACTTGGGGTGCAGCTTTCCAGTGCATATGGAAGCCCATCCTGCCCAGGACTGTCTTCATAGCCCTACTCAGCCCTGGTTCCTGGCAGACTCCCTCCTGAAGACCTGGATGCCTCTACCAGACAGGGTGAAAGGGCCAGACCCAGTGTCCAGGGGGCCCTGTGCCTGTCATGCTTCCTGCCGTGTGTGGGCCCACACACTTCTGTCTCCTGGCCAACTAGTGCTTACTGGGCTGCCCATGGCAGTGCCTGATGTGGCCTGTCTTCTGCCAGTGCTGTCGCTGCTCTTCCTTTCGTGCAGCGTGTGTTTGCAGCGTGTGTTTGCAGCGTGTGTAGCTCCAGGCTGGAGGGCCCTCACTGGGCACAGCAAGGCAGCCTTTGGCTCCCCCGCCTCTACTGGCTTCTTTGTCTCCTGAGCGGCCCTGGCCCCGTGGTGTCTGTGCAACCCTGAGCAGTGTGGCTCACAGTCTCAGTCTGATGGGCTCTCAGAGCATGTTTTTTTCTGAGCCACCACTCCACACTTGACCTCGCCTACTGTCACTTCATTCACCAAGTGCCCATGGAGCTTGAAGGGGAAGATGCCGTCTCAACAGAGGCTGCGCTGTGGTGAGCAGCGGGCTATCCTGCTAGGCGGCTGGCTGTGTGGCTTTCGGCCTCCCACCATGGCAGCCATGCGCTCACACTTGTCTCTAGGCCACATGTGACCACTGCTGCCACTTAGCTGAAATTTTTTTCTTTCTTCCTCTTTTTTTTTTTTTTTTAAAGTAGGGACTTGCTGTGTTGCCTAGACTGGCTTGGAACTCCAGATCCCTCTGCCTCAGCCTCCTGAGTTCTGGGATGACGTGTGTGGCTACCACACTGGCTTTTAGTATATTCACAGTTGACAGCCATTATTAGAATTAATTCTAGAACATTTCCATCACCCCCAAAAAACCTTCATTCCCCCAGCCCCAGCCCCTACCAGTCCATTTCCTGCCTGTGAATTCTCCTGTTTTGGAGTGCCTCTTTCCCTGAGCTCCATGTCCTCAGGTCCCCTCCAGTTGCGACAGGTCAGAGCCACATCCTGTTCATGCTGCATGGTTCTCTGCCACGTTTTGCTTATTCATTACTATTAACACTATTCACTATAAACAGACGACGCTCAGGTCGTCTCCGCCCTTTGGCTGCTGTGGATCCTGCTAGGAGCCTGGGCTTCCATGTGCTGTTGGTGCACCTGGCTTCCCTCCAGTGGACAGCAGGCAGTGGACTGGCTGGCTCACGTTGGTGCTGGGATGTCTGGGCACCACAGGCCATGCCACGTGCATCACGCAAGGGTTCCCCTTCTCCCCACCGTCGCCGGCTCTCGTGTGCGTCCATTCCAGCATCGCAGCATGTGCAATATGCCATCTCAGCGCGGTTTGATTTGAGCCTAGTGCTTCACGTGGCGCTTCCCTCTGTGTGTATCTCCAGGCAGCATCACACCTGGTCATCTGCCCATTCTCCCTGGAGCCTGCGGTGCAGGGCTTGTGTCCCCCTTGTGTGCCTGTGGAGGCATATCAGCACAGTTGTGTGTCTTTCTCGTTTTGGCAAAGGGGTGGACGAGACTGGATGGAGCACAGTCCACGGCTGGAGGAGCACCAGGTCCGTGCCTGGCAGGGCACCATGGAGGCGGGTGCAGTGGGCCGGGAGCACACAAGGTGGCAAGGTACCCAGCGGATAGGGGAGGGGAGCAGAGGAATGGAGGGGGCCAGCACCCAGGACCTGGGATGGCGGCCGTCCAGGGTGTCTGCATAGCCTGCCTTCTCTTGCAGGCGCTGAGCGGGGCCTGTCTGGGCCCGCAGGGCCGGGGCAGGGGCACGCAGCTGCGAGTCGGGGTGGTGTGGCCGGGTAAGGCGCCCGGGAGCTCACTGGCTCGCTGCTCTTCACTTCCTTCCCTTTGTTTGCATGTTTGATCAACTTGCTGGGCTGGATGTTTGTAAAACAAACCCTGAAGCGGCTCCTGGCAGCTTACGCAAATAGTGCTCATCTATCAGCTGCCTGGAATGTGCTGTGTCCTTGGGATTTGTCCCACCTGCAACAACAGCCGCTAGACATGGGCTCAAGGCTGTGGATCCTGCGCTGACCGTGTCACGTGGGCATGCAGTGTACCTCGGGGGACAACCGTCTGCCTTTGTTCCTAGGCGAGGCGGCTTTGCACAAGGTGGACATTCCCAGGGCCACGTGTTGCCTGGTGGTGGACCGGAAGGTGGCGGAGTGGCCAGCCAGGATCGGGGCAGCAGAGTCCCCCACCCCCACCCCCACCCCCACCCCACCCATATCCTCACTTCACTCGACGCTACTAACTCCACACTGCGCTTTCAGGTAGGCAGAGGTGCTGCTGAGTCTGTTAGCGAGTGATCTTAAACTTGTGCAGTCTTTAAACACAAGCAAATTCTGCCACCGCTTTGTAGCTCAATACAGTGTGAACTCACTTCTGTGTTTTATTCTTAATAAATGTGTTCCTGTTCTGTTTTTTTAAGATGAGGTTTCTGTTAATGAGGCATTCCATTTCCCATTAATAAAAGTTTACAGTTCGCACTCAGGCGTGCGTGCGTGCCTACCGCTGCCCAGCAGACAGCAACGCCGGCCCCTTGCTAGCCTTGTCCCGTGTCCCATGCTGGCTGCTGGCTCTGCCCTGCGCCAGTCATCTCCCTTGTGTTGTCTGTATTCTCAGAACTGCCCTATGAAGTGTGCAGATGAGGAAACTGATCCTTACTAGTTGGGATTTTTGCTCCAGGTTGCGATCTCCTGGTGGCAGAGCTAGGACAGGACGGGGAACTGGTCATGGGAAGGGAGTGCGCTGTAGGTGTGCACAGGCCTGTCTCCATCTGTGATGCCGGAGCTGAGGGGCGTATGACAGAGGTACAGTGCCTGATGTCTGGCGGGGGGCTGTGTGCCTGGCTCTCCAGTGCCCCCCACCCTTCGTCCTCCCGCAGACCCAGCCCAGTCACTGTGGCCAGGTGTGGGCTTTTGAGAACATGAGCCCTGTGAATAGGGTCCATTGTGATTTCATTGTTGTCTCTGAAGTTCTGCAAAACAAAACGTACAACATGAGCAGAGACTGGCAAGGCATACCACTGTCTTGGGGGCCACAGCTCCTGCAAGGCATAGCACCCTTGCAATTTAGAGGGTGCCGGGAGGGTGAGCACCAAGCCTAGCTTGGGTGAAAGAAGTCCGCCTAGACCTGTGAGGATGGAGGGCCTAGGTGGCCGCCATCAGTGATGAGTCCAGGGCGCTGTGGGAAGCGTTAGTCTGCCCGCAGTCCTAGGCTCCCCCCGCCCTTGCCCTCGCCCCTCTGTATGTAGGGCAGCGGCAGCGCCTATACCTGCCGGCCCCTGCGTTCTCGCTGAGTATTTAGCTGTCACAGCAGCCTGGTGCCTCCCCAGCTCATGCAAAGCCAGCATGGAGGGCAGAGCCGCCCCAGCCCTCTGCATCCTGGCTGAGCTACACACTTCAAATAACCCTGGAACAACTCCCACAACTCTGGCTTTTAGAGATTGACAGCACCCAGCCCACAGGTTGCGTGCAGGGCCTGGGCAGCAGTTGCCCTCTGCGTGGAGTCCTTTCCCTGCCCTCCACGAACTAGAGTCTGGGAATTAGGCTCAGAAATTTCCCTGTTGGACAGTAAAACCCAGGCTCAGCCTTGGCGGAGAGAATAGCGGGGGCTGAGGGACCATGTTTCTAGACCTTGTCCTTGTGGCTCTCACTGGGGGTAGGGGACAGCCTGGCACCCAGGAGAGGCAGCCAGGCTCCTGTGGTGTCCACACTGGACATCCCACAGGATGCCAAAGACCCTCTTCTTGGAGAGGTGCTGCGTGAATGTGGATTCCCAGGTCCCTATTACGTGGCGCTGATGGCGTGCAGAACGGCTCAGACATACCCAGATGGCTTGGGGAATGAGTTTTGCTCTGGGTCACTTTCAGAGCCTCAGTGCGCAGGCCCAGTTCTAGGGAGAAATGTCCCTATGCCTAGCAGTCATCTTGTCGCTTTGATACACAGATTGTGTGTTGTCTCCGCTTTGGGCTAGGGTCTCTGGACTCTTGTTGGGCTGGCTGCCCCTGCCCCAAAACAGCGACGGTCATGTCAAGGTGTCAGGCCCGAAGGACCACTTTTCCCACATGAGGTCTTGGACAGACACAAAGTGTTTGCCAGTGCCACAAACCACCACAGGCTGGCCCCAGGTCTCCTTGCCTTGCAGGTCCTCCGACCAAAGCTGCTTCCTTCTGAGGCTGTGAGAAGAATCCCGCCCCAGCCCCTCCGCAGCATCTGGTGGTGGCCAGTCCTGTGGGCTCTGGTCTGGGACCCACACCACCCCATCTTAGTAAGTTCCTTCTGCAGCTACCCTGCTTCTCTGCTGTCATTGTCCTTCTGCAAGTATGGCCATCTGCCCAGACTCTGGCTCCAGCAAGGTCCTCTGGTGTCATCTGCTCCGTCCCATCCCAGGAGTGTGTGCATCTGATGGAGTCTTATTTTTTTTACTTCTTATTTTTTGGCAGTACTAGGGTTTGAATCGGGGCTTCATGATTGCTTGGCAGGTACTCTCTGACTTGAGCAATGCTGCCAACCCTTTTTGCTTTAGCTATTTTTCAGGTAGTGTGGCATTTTTGCCCAGGCCAGCCTTGGACTGCAATCTCCTACCTAAGTCTCCCATGCAGCTGGGATGACAAGCATGTGCCTTCACAGTGACCATGTGGAGCCCAGCCTTGTGTGCGCCAAGTCCCTGCCTCACCAGAAGACAGCGCTTTGAGAGATGCTTGGGTGGCCAAGGCTGCTTGTGCTGCTGCATCGCTCTGGCTGGGTATGGTGGCCCATGCCTGTAATTCCAGCACCTGAGAGGCTGTGGCAGGAGGATCATGAGTTCACGGCCAGCTGAACTGTATACGGAGACCATGTGCAAAAACAAACAAAATAAACCCTCATACTTCTGAGGCTGGGAACATGGCTCAAGTGGTAAAGCACCTGTCTAGCAAGGGCGAGGTCCTGAGTTCAAACCCCAATGCTGCCAAAAGAAATTTTAAAAACCTTCCAGCTCTGCAATCAGGAATCTGACTCAGCCTCCCTGGACTGCGGTCTAGGTAGAGCAGGGCTGCTCTCTGCTAGCAGCTTCAGGGAGGATCCATGTCTCTCATCCCTTGGCCCCCAACCCCCCTCCCTCTGGCCACACTTGGGAACAGTGCTTAGCCTCAGGGACTGACATGATCCTGGACGGCCATCCGTCCCAATGTCCTGAACCTCTGTCCGGGCTCAAGCCCCTTTGCCATAGGCCTCGAACTTTCATCTTGAGAAGGGGAGGGGGGTCGTATTTTACCTGTCATAGTGGGTGCGACAAGTCACTGAGAAGTGCCAGATGTGGCAAGCAGTGAGGCATTCCCAGTCCCTGGGGTCAGAGCAGTCACAGGGGTGTCATATTGTGCCACACTGACACCCAGCTACAGCTCCTGGGGACACCAGAGCCAGTCCCTGGGGAGTTGCAAGCTAGATAAAGTATTAGTGAGAGGCGGAGACTCACCCCACAGTTGGTCCCTGTTGTAAGCCACCCCAGGCCACAGGAGCCACGCCCTGAGGTCATGTGGAAAGGGCCAGGTGGCGTGGGCAAGTGCATACACCACTGTCTATATTCATTTCCGTGCACACTTAACGTCATATGTCCCCGGATGCTGTCAGGGACAGACATTTGCTGAGCTGGAAGCTGCCCCCAAAACACTCCGCAGTCACCTTCAAGTCCACGTGCGATGCAGCCCTGCTGTGTTTGCCTCCAGTGGTAAATATTGACACCCTGCCACCTTCTGCACAGACAGAGCACTCAGGGGACCCCACACCCCCGTCCATGCTACCCCACAGGGAACTTCTAGGCAAGTTGGGACCCAGAGACTGGCAAGTCATGTGCAGAGCAGTGTGGCCCCACCGGGATCCTCCCAAGACCAATGGCACAGCTAGCCCCTCCATCCTGGCCTCACCCCCTTCACAGCCCACCTCCTCCTGGGGACCTCCCGCCCACTCAGTGGAAAGCCATTGCCCTCTGCCTGCCACTGTGTCCCCCACCTGTCCACTGGGCACGGGCCAGGTGCTAAAGTGTTAAATTGTTGACTGTCCTCACTCTCCAGGTCAACGTCCCCATCACTGGGAACAAACAGGCAGTCCTAGCTCTCTTATTGGCTGGCTTCCCAGTACCTGATGTTTTATCTTTTGTATGGGACTGGGGTTTGAACTCAGGGCTTGGCACTTGCAAAGCAGGCGCTCTACAGCTTGAACCACTCCTCCGGTCTATTTTGCTCTGGTTATTTTGGAGATGGGATCTCCTGAACTATTTGCCCAGGTTGACCTCGAACAGCGATCCTCCTAATCGATGCCTCCCAAATTACTAGGATTACAGTCATGAGCCACCAGTGCCCTGTCTTGAAGAGGTTGACAGATCACATGGCCTGCCATGGAAAAGTCTTCTGTTGTCCTCAGATAGCGAGAGGCAGAGGCCACACATGGCTGGGGCAGAAGGACCAACATCAGCTACTTTGAACCATTTCTGTGGCTCAGGGCACAGGGTATCCTTTGTTGTCTGGCCCTGGGGCAACAGGCAGGTAGAAGGGGTTCCACAGAGAGGGCTGATGGAGGAGGCGGGTGAAGGTAAGGACTCTGGGGGAAGTAGTTTGTGTACGACAGGTACTCTAGAAATTAGCTCGTTCCAGAGGGACCACATGTCAGAGCATCAAAAACCAGAAAACAGAGCTGGGGTGCAGCTCAGCCGTGAGCGCTGCCTAGAGTGCACGAGGCCCTGGGTTCTAACCCCAGCATCACAGAGGAGAAAAGAAAAACAGAAACTACATCTTGTGCTAAGCGCCTACTCTGTGCCAGTATTACTTTGGTATTTTTGGCAGCACTGGGGTTTGAAGGTGGGGCCTGAGGCTTGTTAGGCTCTAACTTGAGCCACTCCTCCAGCCTTTTTCCGTGATGGATTTGTTTGAGATAGGGTCTTGTGAACTATTTGCCTGGGCTGGCCTCAAACCAAGATCCTCCTGATTTCTGCCTCCTGAGTAGCTAGGATTTCAGGCATGAGCCACTGGCACCCAGCTGCCAGTATTACTTATGCTCAGAAGTCACCCTCCTGTTTTGTTCTTTTGCACTGCTGGGGATGAACCCAGGGCCTCATGCACTCTAGGCACCCCTGAGCCACAGCTGCAGTTCTTTTTCCTTTAGTTGTTTTTCTAATAGGGTCTCATGTTTGTGCCCGGGCTGACCTGGACCACAGTTCTCCTATTTATGCTTCTGTGTAGCTACACAGGTTGAGATGGGGTCTGTTGGCAATAATGGCGCCAATAGGTTTCAGTTCTTACTGCACCCTTAAGCTTCTGTTTTCCAGGGTTACTGTTCTGCCTCAAGTCTAGCTTGAACCCTCCTTCTGCCCCCAACCTCCAATCAGCATGAACCATAAGATCCTAACCAATCAGATCATGCCAAGTCTCACTGAGGGGTATTTAAGCCCCTGGCCCCCCCCCCACCCACACACACCACCACTCTGCTTTCTCCCTCTCCCACCCGCAATAAAGAATCTCTTGGCCAGATCACTCCTCTCCACGTGGTCACTTTGGGGCCTATATTTCCTCACAGGGTCTCTTTTTTTTTTTTTTTTTTTTTTT